TGTACAGAGTTTAGCCCACCGGAAAGGAGAGCATATTACCACCATTCCACATGAAAAGATGTGGGAAGGGCTCAGCTCTGCTTACAAAGATTTTCAATGGTGCTTTCTACTGAGACATCTCTAGCATTATGCATAATGCTGAGGTACTATGGTTAAAGCCAAAAAAGGGTAAAGAAAAAGTAACAGAAATAAAAAAAAAAAAAAGGAAAGGAGGAAGGGACACATAAAGACTTTGTAATGTCACTGCAGTGCGCTCCTGCTTTGTGATATGTGAATGGAGCCCCGTATGGATAAGCAGAGGTTGGAAGAGCAAAGCTCAAGATGCTAACCCCCATCAGACAGAGTCTGGATTAAACATGCAATGCTCCTCTTACGATGCTGAAGTCCCATGGCTTTCATTTCACAACTAACAGTTAAAAATAAAACATTAAATGTCATTATCCTTCCAGATCCTGTTTAGGATTATGTGATTTATGGTACCAGCTCTTTAGTCTAGTACAGTACCAAGCACAAAATAGATGCTCAATAAAGCATGGGAAGAATAAGCAAATGAAAAAAATAGGAAACAAAGACATGAAACTGGTCCAGATGTTAGCTTATGGTGCTTGGCTCAACCCGTTAAAGACTGACACACATCCTCCCTAAGGGTGTTGGAATGGATACCTTGCAAGAACAAGGTAAGCAAGCACAACTCTTCCTCTATGTCTCATCGCCAATCTTTTTTACACAACCCGCGCGACTGTACGGAGCCTCCCTTGTTATTGCTGATGCTCAGAAGGATACTTCACGAAACCCAAACAAGCCACACAGCAAAAGAGAAGTGAGAATTATGTCTGGGGGCTTTCAAATACCTTCGAGCAGACTTTCAATTCAATGGGTGTGTCTTGGAGAGGTGCCACCATCTCACACAAACGAGGGCTCACCAAATACTCTGTCCCATCCTAGCATTTTCATGTTTTTATTCTTCACAGGAAAACCTGGGTCACACGCTACCATTTATAGTTTGTTCCTTCCCATTCGCCCACTGCGTTGGCCCCTCTGCAAACCCCATGGGCTCCTCTCACGGCTCCTTCCGAACCTGGCCTTTGCCATTGCACCATGCCCGTGACTTTCTGCGCACTCCCTACCCCTCTCATGCACTCTCCATCAACGGTCTGCCTATCTGCTTTTGCTTTGGGACCGGTCCCCGGCTCTTGGCCGGCTGTGAGGGAATGTCCGTGACTGAATGAGGGACCGTAGCTTTGAGCACGTCACTTCAACCTGCTGGGGCTGCAGACTGCCCAGCTGTCAATGGAGAAGCAGGTTCCTCGCCCAGGCACACACATGATCAAGAGCAGTTAGTGCGGTCACCCCAAACACCCCTGCAGGCATCTCACCTGATGGCTTCCATGCTCAGAAAGAAAAATAAAAAAATAAGAAAATAGTAACAATCGTGCTAATTGCAATAATTTTAACCAAATGGCCATTCCCTCTTCGTGGCTGTGTATGTGATGCCCCTTGCTCTGGCTTTTCTCCGTGAGAAGCGGGGAAGACATGTCTATAGTGTCATCGGAAGTGAGTGGGGGCGGGCATGCGTGGCCCTGGGCTGGTCCCCAGACAGAAGGTCGGGTCTGTCTTATGAGCTAACCCGGGAGAAGGACGTGGACGCAGGGAGTTGGCGGAGACCTGCTGCTGAGAGGACATTGTCCTACTAGTGTGAACGAGGGGAACCTCCTCCTCAGAGTCTCACATGGAGGCTGAGCTCTCACACCTCTGCCCTGTCGCTCTGACCCCAGCACGGTCTCCATCCACCTGTCCAGTGTGCCAGAGGTCCGGCTCTCCCTCCTCGAGGCTCTCAGTCATTCTGTTCCCTGTCCAGGGGTTCCCTGTCACCCACGTTCACCAGGCCCGCCCTGACTGGGACCCGGTGTCTGGGCGTAGATGTCCTCTCTTGCAGAGACCTCTTCAGACACCACCCATCTCCAGCGCGGGCTGGGTGACCCTCCTCTGAGCACACTCTGATCCCGACCTCTGGGTGGTGCTGACCTCCTTCGCCTTCCCATTTGACCAGACAGCGAGCTGCTCAATCTGACCTGTCCATCCCTGGCACGGCAGACCCTCCATACAGATTTGCTGAATGAATGAACGAATGAATGAATGAACGAACGAACTGCCTTGCCAAAGCCCTCCTTCATCACAAGGTTGCCTCTCCCTTGAGCTCTTTGAGGGCAGGGACTGCACCTTCGATCCCTGTGCTCTCACCAGGCATGGAGGGAAGTCGCTTGGCAGACACCTGTGGACTGCGGGTGCAAGCAGGAGCCTCTCCACTCTGCAGCCTCTCCCCGGGCTCAGAGCCCTGCAGCGCCTTCACCCCGCCATCGAGGTATGAGTCTGGCCCCCAGGGGACTTTTGGTTCCCATCTACTTCTTGGCTCTATTTGGCGTGTGAACAACAGACTCCAACTGATCTCAGGAGTAGCGATCTTCATTTCTAACTACTTCTGAGAAACTTAACCAACCGTAAAAACAAGAAACAAAAATGATGCTAAGAATGAAAACATACTAGACCATTATCTTGGCAGGCATTTTGTTTATAATTTTTATAATAAATAATATAATGTCCCTGTTTTACATTTTATATATATATATATTTATGTATATATATATTAGATATCTATACTTCATTAGAAAGAGACATAAAAAAGCCTTTTCAAATGAGGCATGACACGCAACACTGGACACTCTTATTTACAATATAGAGATGTACTTTCTACACAATAGATTGGATGCTCAGAGGCCAGAGAGGGTTTACAAAGACAGCAGATCACCCCTATAAAAAAGGGGCACACCATGCAGCTGGACGTTTATTGCCATGAGTTCTCACTATGTCCAGACAGCATATTGAAGTTAAAAATGGCATCTGGTTATTGGAAAAGACGATGGTCATTGGATTCACCCTGGCTCCATAACCACTGGCTACATGGTCTTGCAAATGACCAGGGAATGACAAACTTTGCTGATGGGTATCGGAAACACAAAATGAAATGCTCTCATCGGAGGGGCAGGGCTTCTCATGTGGCCAAAAAGGAGAAGTTGCCACAAACATATGGTCCTGCGCCGAGCACGAACATGCGTCTAGACCAGGAAACACATCATGGGCTCCACCGCAGGACCTGATTCCTGGTGGGTTATCCCGCAGATCGGTCCTGTTCATGAGTAACCAGTCTCTGTCCAGCGGGAACTTGGAAAAAGACCCACGGGACTTACTGGTCCCATACGGGTGAAGCCTAGGATATAATGAAAGTTCACGGGAGACCCACAGAGAAACCCTAACTCCACTGTGTGCGAGTCTGCCTCTGAGGCTCATTCATCTCCACCCCCGCCTTCCTTCACGAGAAACCCATGGGTCTCCTGTCCTGCGAAGCTGCGTATGTACCTGGACTGGTTTCTCACGGTCTGCCTTTGTTTTGCAAAGTCACACTGTTAACGTGGGAGTACTACAATTCTCAGATGAGCCAAGATTTACTTGGTTTTAGGACCATGGCACTGGTGAGCGAAGGTCATGGTCCAGGCGCTGGGACCAGGAATCTGGTCCCAGAGGAGTTTCCGAAACACATGAGAAGGGGGTTTTGCAGAAACAGGAGCTTCTACCTCCTGCAGATGGGTCTCCTGTGTTAGTCATCCCTCCTGTCCTGGTTTGCGACTTCCTTCAGTGTGACTAGGTGATTCTCCAGGCTTCCTTTAGGCCAAGAGTGGAGTCTGGGACCCTATCAAATAGACTGGCAATTTTCAAAACTCCCCTTAAGTGACTTACCGGTAACAATTTAAGCTGGGTCCTCCATCTGGCTGTGGTCCTCCTCTCTGATCTCACTGTTGTCCCTGCTGTTTATTGGTTTTTATCAATGGTGACCTCTCCTAGCCCTTTATTTTCCTAAGGCAAGAAGACATTTCTATTGAAAGATAGCCAGCACCTTCTTAGAGCTCCCCTGAGGTTTAATCCAGCACTCCTCCGTTTAGATGTTTCTCCTTCCACGGAGAGGAGAAGCAGCTGGTCACGTTAATGGTTTTATTTGTATTTATTTTTTTTTTTGCAATTGCATCAAATGCTAACGAAGCATTTCTTTGGAAGAATACCAGCAGGAGCTTCCTATCAGCCTGTGCATCCATCTCAGTGCCCCCTTCTGCTAAATTTAATCTGAGTCCGTTTTCCCCAAGGACAGACAGAGATTTAAGCATTCACAAAAATAATGTGTGGGCCACAGAACTGCCTAGACAGTGCGGAGGAGCAGGTGAAGCAACAGGGTTCACCACGTTCCCTGTAGGTTGTTTTCCTTTGTAACAACCCTGCATTTACCAGGAGTATCACCTTTCTCCCCCCACACCTTAAATCGCCCCACCCGTTGCTGTTCATGAACTAGGATTGGAGTGTACAAAGCATTCCTTTGCCGCTTGTTGAGAAAACATGAGAGAGAATGATCGTGTGGGCATCACGTTGTCTTAAGCAAGTGGCACATTGGAATCTATTAAGGGTTATATTTACACGAATATGTCCCACTTCCACACAGAGGTTCACCTGAGTTCTGAAATGCTTGTATGCACTTAATTTAATCAGAATGATAAAGCTTATGAGCTAGGAACATACCGGACAGATCTGGGGAAACTGGAGCGGACTAGGTGAGCCCGCGGTGGGGGAAAAGGTGGGCTCACCGACCCCAAGGATTCTGTTTCTTTATTTTGTCATATTTCTCCTAGAAAGCATCTTGAAAGAGACTCCAGGTGGCCGACACGTTCGGGCAATGTCTCGCCAGGTGACACTACCGTGGACGGGTTCAGCTTTCCCAAATCTCCTCCGAAACAGAAGCACCTGGGACGGCCGGCCCCACCCCCCCACCCCACCCCCATCCTGGCCTCAGCACCTGCCTCTCCGGGTTCCGCCTGGAGTGGCAGAGGGCTGCGAAGGAGGTCCAGGATAAAGCGCGCTCAGGGGTCGCTAAGCCTCCGCGGCCCCCCCGCCCCGCGCCGCTACTTGAAGTAGTTGAGCCCCGCCACCAGGAAGAACTTCTCCAGGAAGAGCTCGGAGTCCAGCACGGCGATGTGCGCGGCTCGGCCGATCAGGGCGTTGGCAGTGTTGGGCAGAGCGTGGAACACGTTGTGCCGGATTAAAGTGCAGTCCTTGGCGTCCACCAGGGGGCGCAGGAGGTTGTTGATCATCTCCGCATACACGGGCCCTGGGGGGAGGGGGGCGCAGGTGAAGCCCCAGCAGAAGGGGGCCGGCGGGATCTGGAGAAGAGCTCCGGGTGTGCCAGGGGGGGCCATCCCCTGTGCCCTCGTAGGCACTGGCAATTTCTCGAATTTACTTATGCTTTTTAAATCAGGAAGTCCGTAAAAATATAAAAATTAAAAAATAATTAAATGTGGCTTACCTGTGTGTCTGTCTTTGAGGGCAGTTTTACACATTTCGATCCTGGCTGAATGAAAGGGCACATAGCGATCTTGGGGAGAAGCCACGAGCACGACATTTTTGAAATACTGCAGACCTGCAGGAGCCAGGAGGGTGCTCGTTACCAGGTCGGGTGGTACTAGGGCACCCCCAGCTCTGCACAGGGAGCACAGAGAGGGGAAGGTGGGGAGACCAGCTAGCCAGGGCATATTGTTGCTTTTGCAGTGTAGCTTCTGTATCTCGGAGAGAAGGTGCAGCCCTGTTCTCCTCGGCCACAGAAGCTAAAGAGACGCGCGGGGGCAAGCTCCTCTCGACGGGGGGAGGGGAGCAGCACGCAGGTGACAAAGGGGCCTTTCTGCGTGGCAAGCGCTAAGGAGTCCGTAAGGAATAAAGTGAGGACTCTGCTCCTCCTTCTCAACAACGGGGACAGCTCCTAACTGCAGTGCTCATCTTGTCCCCGTGGACGAAAATGGCCTCTGAACGTGCCTCCCTGCCTGCAGCTGGAGACAGGGGGGCTCAACAGCACGGCGCGGACCTGCGGCCTCAGAGCCCTGCACAGGCCTGCAGACAGACACTGCAGCGTGCCCCCAGGCCCTCTGCCTGCACGGCCCTCAGCCCTGTGCCCCTGTACCGCGGTGGGACCTCTGGCCTCCCAAGACCACCTGATGGGGGCCAGCCTGCCTCGGTGACTGGCAGACTCAGGGCAAGGCTATGAAGACCAGCCCCTCACCCTAGTCTGCGGGGTCGCCCCAGCTCCTGAGCTCTCTGCGGTGACCACACTGCCCTCCAGCTTCCCCTCTGCCCAATCCTCCTCCCTCCTTTCCGCCTGGAGGGAGTCCCGAAAGCTCAACTTGGCACAGAGACACACTGGGTAAGGTCTTGCCTGGGGTCTCACGTTCAGAGAGGCGCAGAGTGTCAGCAGGGGTGGTGTTCATGAGATGATGGAGACGGTGACAGGGGACAGAGGCTGGACACTCAGACCACTGCTGCCCTCTGCTCATTCCCACCACACAGGCAGGGTCTCCAACACCCCTGTGCACTTGCCATCACAGCGTGGGTGAAGGTGTGACTTCAGCCCTGCCTGGGAAGGACCCCCGTCTCCCCCTGCACCATCAATCTAAATGAATGGTGTGCACCTGCCCTTTTTGTGGGTGGATCTGTACCTGAGAAAGAGCAGTGTGTGGGCACGCAGCCCCAGGGCTTGTGATCAGGGCATTGAAAGCTTGGTGGGAAGTAGAGGCTATAGCTTCTGTGTGCAGAGATGGTCTCTATGCACACCTTGGCACACCTGGGACACCCTTCTCGGGAGCAGCTGAGTTCGGGGGCAGCCTCCCTATGAGCTGAAGAGTCTGTGCATGCTGCACCTCCTGACTAAACCCTTCCCTGAGTGCATCGATGCAGTGGTAGAGAGATTTTGGGTCTCAGGGCTGCACCTCCAGCTCACACTCGTGACCGCAGCAGCATGCCGTGGAGGAAGGCACTCACCTGTTTTCTGGCTTAGTTGGTAGAGGAAACATTTGCGCAGATCGGCGTTATCCCTGAAGGTCAGCTGCAGAAGGGACCCGGATTTCTTTAATTTCTGCATGAGCCACAAGCCTAGAAAGACCAAAATGGAACAGAACAAAAATCAAAAATATAACCTAAAGAGAGCAAAAATAATTGGGGAGAGATTAATATGAAACTGTGATTTTTAGTTAATTTTAACATAAGAGAATAGTAGGCACTTCGGCAAATTCTCGGGAAGTTAGAGGAAAATTTTTATGATGTACTTGTGGCAGGAATATAAAATCATCCTGCAAAATGATATGGTGACTGGTATTAGGAGTCATGATACTTCTGCACCCTTTGACCCATTCGACCTCCTCTCATAAATCCAGCCTAAGGAAGCAATCCCAAATACAGAGCCATATATATGGATACTCCTTACAGATCCGTGTAGCATGGAGAAAAACTGAAACACCTTCCACTTCAGAGTCCATCCCTGACCCTGGTTACACCAGCACCAACGCTGATGAGTATCGCGTCACCACGACAAAAGTGAGTGTGACAAAAATGCAAGGAAATGAATACAATATAATTCTTTTTGTCATGTCACAAGATTATAAGTATGAAAAAAGTTAGATGTGGTTTGACTCATGTGTTTCTGTCCAATGATGGCTTCCCTGGTTTGTGGGGACAGAGAGAATGGCAAAGGAAACGTCTTCCACTTGTTATGGCCAACGTTTCAAATAATGTCCTTAAAATAACCTAAAGGCAGACAAAGAGATCTGACCCGCCTCAGTGAGGAAGGCAAGCAGCCCAGTTGGCCCTGGGTGTCAGGCAAGTTCAGGGTGCAGGGGCTGGGAGACAGGCAGGGAGTGGGAGCTTACTGGGGTGGCCCAGATGCCACCTAATGGACTGGGGGCTATCGGGGACCACTGAAGTCTTTGTTAGGAGTATGATTTAATAAACTAGTTGTTATTCCACGAAACCTGACGCCCTCCCTGGGCTGCCATCTGCCAGCCGTGGTGCTCCTACGGAGACCAGCACGTCACAGGAGGCCCTTCATCATCAGGCTTTGGCTGAGCACTTCATGGTCATCTCCTGTCCCTCGAGCTCAGCCTATATTCCTGTCACAAAAAGCCACCTGTTGCCTGCTTCTATGTTATTATACATACTATTTTCTTTTACACAAAAAACTTGTCCCACCATTCACTATCTTAGAAATTCTGCTCGTTGTCCAAGATTCACTGAGCCTTGCTTCTTTACTCTCCATGGTGTTCCTAGCCTGACAGAGGAAATTTTGAGAGCCTCAAAGCTGCGGGCCATGTCATTCCATTCCAGCAAGAAGTACAGAATCTGGCTCTGGTTGACCTCCCATACATGTTAGTCAACTTCTCCCTTCCTTCTCCTGCTTAATCTTCAACAATTCTGATACACACACACACACACACACATACACACACACACAGAGAAATAATATATACATTTACAGATATGCATATCTACACACATACATATACCTAAAGATCATAAATGCATCCATACATATACACAAGCAGAAATACATACACTAACTCCATTTTAAAAATATTCTTATTTTTAAATAAGAATATTCTAAGTTGCATGGGGATGAAAATGTCTTGGCCGGAGTCATCCCCTAAGTGTCTGGGTCAGAACTCAGTCACAGGCTTGCCATGGCAGGGACATGGTTCAAGGCCCATTGCTACGGGCGGAGCGAAGGTGTCACCCATGAAGCAGGACCTCCTCCAGGCTGTGAGGAATACACTTCTGTTGTCTCCAGGTCACGCAGTCCATGGCGATTCGTTATAGCAGCCTGAGCAGCCCGACACACCCCTGCTCCCTCCTCCCCACTCCTGTGCCTGCTCGATCTCATCCAGCCAGGACCCCAGGGCATCACCCTTCCGTTCACAGACGAGATCTCGGGTGGCATCTAGTCTGATCACTGGACTCACACAGGAGAGGCCCTCTTTCTCTTTGCTCAACGTCCCATGTTTGGAGAGCCTCCACAGCCACAAGACTCCATCAGGAAGAACCTCTGCTGGGCTTCCACCTTCCCTCTGCCCGGATTGGACTGCGAGGCAGGACGGGCCCGGAGGAGCCTTACCTGTACTAACCAGCGTGCTGTTGTTGTAGAGCGTCCCCAGGTGAGGCCCAGACAGTGACAGGAACGTGTGGAGTTTGTTGAGGTAATACCGAAACCGGGGCCGCGTGAGGACCGACCGGATGATGATGTTGCCAAGGGAATGGCCGATGAAGCTGTTAGGACAGAAGAGAACCGCGCATGAGCATGGCCGTGGGAGGCCAGCTGCTGTGCTGGGGAACACCGAGGGGTCCCGCCGTCCCCCACCCCGACTCGGGGATCTGGCAAAGCGAATGGGGGCTGCCAGCCCACCCTCCCTGGGTTTCCGGCCTCTGGCCACAGCAGTAAGCTTGAGATGGAAACCTCGGGCACAAGGCCTCTGCTGCCCAGTGTGGTCTGAAGAGAAGCGCGGGCGTGTGGCTGGGCTCTGCGTTCTGAGAGCAGCCCTGCCTGTGCTCTATGTCTCGCTTCCGGCCGCCGGGGGGCCCTGGCCATTCCCAGGATGAAACCCCACTTCCTTGGCCTGGCTGATGAGGCCGCTCACGACCTGACGTCTGACTCCCTCTGCGATTTTATTCATTGCCCACCATCACTGCAAATGTAAGGAGTCGCCCGTTGCTGGCCCGCGCTGCTGGACGCCCCTCCTGCATGCTCTGCTCCAGTCACACTGTGACTCACACATCTGAGGACCCAACGCAGCATTATTTTCAAACTGAATACCTGTTTATGAAAACCCTATCACATGAGGGTCCATGGCTCTGCTCATGGTGAGCACAAAACGGGCCGAGAAAGGAAATGAATGTTTGTCTATGAAATGGCATTACCTAGCTTTTCACTCCATCTCCATAGGCCTCTCCCTTCTCATTTGTGAAATAAAGAACGGATATTTTATCTCTGAGGCCTCAAATGACTGAGGCATGTGGCCTCATGGCTATGTCCACATACTGCAAGCACACAAAAAAACAAGCCATTGGTTCTTGTCTAAATCAGGAAACATTCCAGCCAAGCTCATTTCGGAGTGGAAGGGCCAAATGAGCGTGGACTGAAGTCCTCTTAGGGGCAGGTGATGCATTCTGCTGTTCCCCACCGGATGCCAGTGCTTATCCCACCTAGCAGGTGGGAAAATGGAGGCTCAGAGGTTTAGAAAGCCTAAAAGAGGTTGCGCGGTAGAGTCAGTGTTCAGATGAGTGAGTGTTAGAAGAGCAATTCAAACCTCGGGGTTTGTGCTAAAGTCCAGTTCCCTTTCTACTGAGCTATGAAATGCTCCTTTTCCCCCACTCACTCCTGCTCTGAAAGTCACCTACTCCAGTAAGTCACAAGTTAGCTTCTGAAGGTTGTAGACAGAAGGCAGCACTCTGAACTTGTCTACAGCCAACACCCAGAAATGCCTCTCCTCTTCTCCCAGCATTAACTACCTGTGGTTTCCTTTTACCTAATTCGGGATATGGAGAGGTTGTACAACTGGATGTGCTGAATGATTTCATCCAACAACCGATCCGTCATGGTATCAAAATCTGCAAATGTGTCCGTCTGGAAGAAGAGAGAGAGAACGGGTGTAGGTTGGCTGGGGTCACAGCAAGGCCAGGCTCTGTGCACAAGCCCACCTTCTTCCATGGTGGCACATTCTGGGAGTGTGCCTAAGCCCGATGTTGGGGTAACAGGTGGGGGTTCAGCACCAAGGAAAGGGGCCCATAGACTGGGGCTCTCAGGAAGAGACTCATGACGCTGGAGAATCCTGTCAGAAGGCTGGCTGGAAAACGATGGGAGAAGCTGGTGGGCAAGAGCAGCAGGTCCACGGCACCAGCGGACACATCATCACGCGCCAGGGGCCGTACCTGCCTGCGTCCTGCCGGCCCCATGGTACCGGGAGGAACCGGGCTCTAAGGGTGAGCCCATGCCCCCAGGACTCACATCCCAAGCCCGCCTGGCCCCGAAACCGTGCTGTCTTCCCGGCACAGCCTCGGGACTGTGCTACCAGACCACGTCCAGAGCAGGGTCCAAAGCCATCCGTGACTCAGCAGGGATGGTCAGAGGATACGTGCAGAAAAGGAAGAGGAGGAACATCAGATGGGACTTTGAAAATCAGAAAGGGCAAACATGAGGAAGACATACTAGATTGGGAGATATCCCGTCAAGGATGAACTTTTGGAAACCGATGGGAACCACAGGGAGAGAGATTCAGGGCCAACATAGAAGACACTTTCCCATAAGTGGAGTTGTCCTTCAGGGTCGTGGGCTACCTGGAACTGTGCTGAGTGCCAAGCTACAAAGGTGGACAAGGGGTGTCTCATGAGCATTTATCAGGGTGGGGAAGAAGGCGTGAAGAGGGGGCCTGTGGCTCATTGTCACCTGCCACTGAACGGTCCTAGAGACACCACAGAGATGGAGCACTCCGGTCACTTCTCAGTGTCCACGGAGTAAGAGAGACCCATGCCTGCAGGCCAGCAGGCGCGCTCTCCTGCTCACAGGACCTGTGCCTGGGGCTGCGCTTTCCCGTGCGAGCCTGTCTCCTCTCGAATCCTGCTGGGGGATAAGGCAGCCTACTCCTCACACCAGTGTCAGGCTTACACCATTTACAACACAGTGAAGTTGTGTTGTAAATGGTGTAAGCTCACCAGCTCATTACTTCTGTCTAGACCCGGTCCAGTAGTCCCTAGGTACCCCAGTCAAATCCCTCTGCCACGGGGGCTGCATCACAAGGGCTGGGTTAGGCCTGTGACAGCCCCCTTTGCCCAGTAGAGACCCATGGACCCCCAAACCATTTATGATCCAAGCTGTCACCTCCCCCAAGTGCCCTGCCACCTGACCCACATGTCCCCACTCTTTACTCTTTCTTCACCTTCCCAAAAGGAAATAATCCAGTGTTCTTTGGCAGGGTCCCCTTCTATGGGGGTGTCCACACGTCATCAGGGTGACTTTAGGAGGTCCTTCTAGACACGGCTCAGGGATTCTCTCAGTCCTGACGTTTTTCTTGTCATACCTGATTCTTTTCAGACATTAGGAAGTCCAGCTTTCCTCCAGGAAGCCCCAGTTCTATGAAAGTCTTCACCAGGCGGAGGTCCGCACTGTTCCCTAAAAACGACAGATAACCCCGCCACAGACCCATAGTTACTCATTATCAAAACGGACACACAAGGGATTTGGGCCCCCCTCTTCTCCCATCCCCCCATTTTCCATTTTTTCATTAAGCAGATAGTAAAAGCAGTGGAAACGAGCCCATCCTAGCGGTTCTAGCCCCCCCTGCCCCCCGACACAAGGTCAAGCAGTCCTACCTCAGTGGACTTTCTCCCTGATCTACAAACATGTGGCTCGTGAACATTCCACGCACAGCACATTTGCAAACACACTGCCCCCTCCTCTTCTACAGCCGATTCTGTTTAGTGAGGACACGCTGCACGGGGCACACGGGGTGGCTGATGTCTACATGCCCCACAATCTACATGTCCCCCTCTTCAAGTTCCCGCTTCGTACAAAGACCAGCTGTGCCAGCCACAGGCACCTGGCGAGACCCCGGATGGGCCAGGCAGGGCACGGTTATGTGCGATAGAGTAAGGATCGCCCTTGGGAGCAGGAGCCATGACTGTGCCAACTCCATGGACGCCACCGGACCCACCGCGACCGCAGGACAGAGCCATGACAGCTAAGGAATCTGAGGCCACTGCTAATGGCAGAGCGCAGTAAAGATTATCCAGAGGATGGATCTGCTATAACCCAATGAGCTTCAGAGTCAAGGATTTTTAAATGTAGATTTCATGCAGGCTCTGGGGGTGGATTGCATCGTACTGAATTTTTGGTCTATTCCTCAAAGGGATCCCTGTAAAGTCGAAAGTTAGAAGCTAGTCAGTGGACAGACAGGGGACCTACCTTCCCATACAACCAGAATTTCAAAGTAGTTTGTGGAACCATGAGTGATATAGTTTACAAACGCTTATATCCTTCTTCATGAAACTACCAACTGACTCAAAGGATGGTGGGAGTGCCACATGGAAGTGGGGAGAACTACAGGATGTGAGGGTATCCCTAACCAGTAAGGATGACCCGATAGCCTCACACGCGCCCTGTGATGGTGGCCCGCAGAGCATAGGCCCAAACCTGGGGGATCACAGCCACGAAATGCTCATGTTCTTTTAGGAAAGGTTTCTATTTTGTGTTATAAGTTAAATTTTATTCTTTCTGTTCATTTCTGATGATAAAATTTGGCTCTTTGGTCCTGTTGTGGTTCTTATTTAGAGTGACCTACGGATATTCCAGAACCTGGCCTTAAAAGAAAAGCAGCAAGTGTTTATACTTAGCCTGAGGAGTCTAAATAAGGAATGCTAATGGCCCCTCCCTCCCCTTCAGCTACTGAGTGAAACTTGAAACTTTCTCAGAAAATAGGATTTGATAAGGTGTTACACTGAAAATAATTTGCAAGGATTCAAATCTTGGGCCTTTGGCACATCCTGAAGAGTTGTGTGAATATTCATATTCATATTCTGAATATACTCATATTCAGAGATATTCATATCTCTGCTAATATATATATATCCTTGCAACTGAAACTTCAACAAATGGGTCCTGTACAACTCTGTAGCATCTGGACATTGGTACATTGAACTGGAGAAGTCACCATCAAGAGAAACCTATGTGTGATACCGGCTCTGTTTTTGATGGCTGCATGCCTAGCTGATAATGCTGTAACTGCCGGTTCGGGGTTGGGACCTAGCACACGCACTGCCAAGGTCGCCCTGTCTTCATAACCTCCCTCCCCAACATGCATCGTGGGCAAAAATAAAAGTCTGTGGCCTGACAAGATTTCTCATCTTAACGAACACACTGAGAGTATTTCTCGTTTTAATTTAATATCAGATAAGTAAGAGGGCACGCTGGTCATGCATGATATGAAGCTAAGTCGTCCACAGCACCTGTGTTAAAAGGGCATCATGCTGAGGAGAAAGTCATTCTTTGTCTTTCTTGCAGGCCTTCCGATTGCAAGTCCCAGTTTAAAAAAAAAAAAAAAAAAAAGGATGTTTTCAGGGACGCCTGGGTGGCTCAGTCGGTTGAGCATCTGACGCTTGATTTTAGCTCAGGTCGTGATCTCAGGGTGGTGAGATGGAGCTCCACATCGGGCTCCTTGCTCAGCACTGAGTCTGCTTGAGATTCTTTCCCTCTGCCCCTCCCCCTGCTCTCTCTTTCTCTCTTTAAAATAAATAAATAAATCTTAAAAAAAAAACCCACAAGTATGTCTTCAGTAGCTTTTTATTTTTTAAGAGAGAAAAGTGAGTCTTGAAAGTCCAGTCTTCTGACAGTGGGGTCAAACTTCAGTAAGATTATTTTCATATCATCGTAATTATTTTTAGTATTACTCTTCATGTGTGCCAACAGATTTTAGTATTTCCCTTGTGGTGGTGATTTGAAGTTTCTTTATTTTTAAAATATATTCAAAAAGTATGCCAATTTCAATACAAATTTTGAAATACCAGGACAAGGTACCTGGGTGGAACAAAATTGGGGAAAGGTATGTAAACAGCTGGGACTTGGGAAGCAGTGACATTGACGCTGAGCAGGGACACCTCACCAGGCAGCGAGCCCGGGGTGACTAGACACAGTGGTGTGGGATGGCATGCATCTCTGGGAAAGGCATGAGGTTGAATCGCAGGAGGGAAAGGGTAGGAGATGATAGTGGGGAGGCTCAGAACACAGAAGCTTTCTAAGACAGAAGTTTATTTTATTTTCTGAGAGCTACAAAGAAAGATTTTTAGTAATGGACCAGCACGACCAGATCTGGTAAGATTTTTTAGAAGATGACTCAAACGGTATTGAGGACGACGGTTTGGACGGCGAAGAGATGAATTTGTTGGCATAAGGCAGAATGAAACCATGGGCTCTGGAGCTCTGACAGCTGGGTTTTCACCTTGGCTCAACCACATTAGCTGTGGGAACTTACACAAGTTATTTAGCTGGCCTCTTACACAGTGTCCCCAGTTATAATGGGACAATAACACCACCTACTCTGCAGAGATATTGTGAGAATCGATGACCTTAATGGATGTTAAGCATCTAGAAGGGTGCCTGGCCCCAGAGTGATAGACCAATGCTGCTTCTCCTCCCCTTCCTCCTCATCTAGAATGTATCATTTACCACTGGATTATTTGACACTTCACCAAATAGACCTGTTGACTGAGTGTCCCGGTATCCACGGCATACAGCCAGACAGCTAAATGCATTAGCCCCTGGATTGGGAATTCAGGGTATAAAGAATAGTGTGCCCTGGAAGCATAACACACCACCACTCCCTACTACATGATCACCAGAAGACAGTGAGCACAGGTTTTGCCACTTATCACCTGTGAGGCCCTAGAGAAGTCCTTTCCCTTCTCTGACGTTAGTTATGCACTGGAGTCCATATAAAGTGGATGTCAAGATGCTTCCAGAAATCATGTTTCACATTCCAGTTTTTAGATCAGTTATGATGTGAACTTGAGCTTGAGGAGAACTCAGATGCCCTGTACTTCCAGCTGATTGGATCACTTCCTTTTCAGCCAGTTCGGGAGAGGCTAGAATTCACAAGGGCAAGCAGGACCAACTGCTTGCATTTGGTCCAGGCTGAGCTGGGACCTCAAGATCTTCCAGCAGAGCTGGTAAGTTCTGTATCTTACAGAGTCTTAGAACTGATCGAGAAACCCAAAGAAAGCTGACACTGGGGCCTCAGTCATTTGGGAGGCAGGGCAGGGAGAAGGAGCCCTTCCCACTCTCTTCTCTCTTCCCCTGGACCTCTATAGTACTGGTATCTCTCGTAGCATTCAGCTCTCGGTCCATATTTGCTGACCTCACTAATTTAAGAACGTTTTAAGGTCAGGAACCATGTTGGGTCTCTGCAATCCCAGAACTTGGTACAGTATCTTATAGGCAAAAATTGCCCCATAAGTGAAAAAAGAATAAAAATAGGCAACAAAACAGTTTGGGCCACTAGCCTGAGCCTGTCCCACATGAATCTACATTCATTCCAATCTGTTTTTTCCCTTGTGCTTTTGACTCATGCATCCCTTGACATTTTCATCCCAATAATCCATCCACCCATCCATCCATCCACTCGCTCCATTCCTTCTTTTATTTTTGTTCATTAGTTTCATTGTTCATTCCATTTCTTCATTCATTCCATTATTTATTTATTCTATTTATTCCTTCACTGCATCATTACATTCATTTATGAATTTCATTTGCTCAACAGATTTTTGTGCCAGAGAGATAGATCTCTTCCTTGGGAACAAGGCCAGGCCATTTCCCTAGACCCAGGATGCTGCCGTCCCACAGTTGCTAATAACACTGTTGCACAAGTACCTGACTTAAAATCTTTCATAAATGTTATAAATTGTCCACAGTACAGAATTTTGAGGAGGAAACTTTTTTGGGGACTCACCATCTAGGCCATGGACACAGACTACCAGGTGAATCCCATCTTCCAAATTTTCTTCCTCTTCCTCTGGTGGGAAATACGGTATATCAGAAGCTAGTACAGATAAGTCACTGTACAGAAATCCATCAATCTTCAGTTCTTTTTTAAATTTTTCTTTGGCCTGATAAAAACTGGAGAATACACTAATTAATCAGAAGCCACACTGTGTATGCCATGTTGAGCAGGAGATGAGTTGAGCTGGCTGGGACGTGGGAGTGATGAACATCTATAAGGAAGTATCTGTGAGTAGCAAAGGCAGAATATGGAGCCTCGGGAGATGCTGGTGAGGGACGCTTTTTCTGAGCCAGGAGGCAGGAGAGCATTCCAGGAAAAGTTTTGTGTGATTTGGGTTCTGCAGATTTCTATGTGCACAGGCTACCATGGCTTGGCCTCTACCTGCTTCTCAGCATCATCTCCCAGCCTCCAGAGAGAACACATTTCTCAGGATTCCCTGCCTAAATCAAGTTTGCTTACTTCTGTGCCTTGGTGCGTTCAGGTCTGTCTGAAATGGGTTTCCCACTGGGTTATCACAATCTTTGCCCAAATAACAGACAAGGTGGTGATTAAGAGCACGGACTCAGGAGTCTGACTGCTAAGGTCAGAGTCTCAGCTTTGACACTTACTAGCTGTGGGCCAACCACTTAAAATCTCTGTGTTGGGTATCCTCAATTGTAAAAGAAGAATACACCATTATCTAATTCATAAAGTTATTCTGCGTGTTAAGTGACACAGTCTATGTAAAATGCTTAGAACAGTACTTAAAACTGATTAAACAGTAAGAAACATTATCTATTACCAGCCTCATCACCATCATCACCACCATCATCATCACCACCATTACCATCCCCATCATCACCATCACCACTGTGTCTCTCGTATTTGCTCTGCAGTCACCTCTAAAAGGTTTCCCCTGGCCCCCATCTCTAGGCACACTCGCTGCCCCCAGCCATATCGGGTCCTTCTTCTGGTTCAGCGGTGCATACACAGGAACCCTCCTGTTTACCCAGCTACCCTTGTTCACTTCTCTCATCTTTCTGTCTCCCTCTTAGGCTGTAAGGACGGTAACCTTACAAGCAGGCATTGGTCAGTGCTTGCTGTCTATTTATTAAATTGATGCCATAGGCATATTAGGTACTTAATATTCTTCAGAAAGTGAGGAATCCAATGTTTACCTGCCTGTGCAATCTCTTTCGTGGTTATCATTAATATGTAACTCTTCAGCATTTTGCAGAAGAGTAATAAAAGGATTCTATAATATACTTAATCAAATATATAGTTATAGATGAGGGAGCAATATGAATACAAACCTAACGCAAGGATGAAGGGATGGATTCTGGCATTACGCAAGGAATGACATGAGTAAGAACCACACAAAAGGGCTGAGGAGCCAAATCTGAGGCAGATTTCCTCAAAGGCCCTTAAAGAACAGCCCTCTCAAAATGTGCGAAGACAGAGGTACAGTGACATTCATAGCAGAGTTGTTTATCCTAATAAAAACTAAAAAAAAAAAAAATCCCAAATATCCCTCTCTTAAGGAGTTTGTTCATAAATCATGGTACATATAGAAACTTTCCCAATATGTTAGGTTGAAAAAAACCTTACAGTTTGTACAGAATCATCCTATTTTTGCATAAGAAGAGAATAGAGATGTACACAAAAAAAGTGCAGAAGAACTTACGCAGTGGATGTAATTGAGAGATAGGCTTGCTGATAGATTTTACCTCTACTATTCTGCATCTCTGACTTGTAGAACATAAATATATTACTTTATCTAAATCGGGAAATAACTCCTATCTCAATATTGAAAGAGTATGCATGAACCTGAGCAATATGCGGGGAATCTAAAACCGTGCTGGGGGCGGGTAAGCCAGTGGTCGGCTTACCTGTACATCCTTTCACTGACTTCTTCCTCCAACTTGCTCGAATGGGTGGAGACCACAGCAAAGGAACCCAAGGGCTGATGAGTGATGGGCAACAGGGTCTGCTTGGCAGAGAACCCAGCCCGGGCAGGGGTCTCCTTGGGCACAGACGAGAAAGGGAGACACGTGGCAGTGCAAGACACGGATAGGTTGACGACCTCCACGGCCTTCAGGCTGTCCAGAGTGAAGGTCTCCGCTGGGCTCAGGTGGGACGCCATGATGGAAGTGCCTGCCCTTGGCTCTTGGTTTCCTAAAACCTGGGAGTGAATGAAGTGAGTCACAGGAGAGCACACGGTGCCTGCTTCACGTCCAGCCTCCAGAGGAGTGTGAGCTCCTTCGCTAAATGCTGCATCATCAGTGATGCGTGGTGAGCTGCTCTGCTCGTCCGTGGAACCCAGGTCGCTGGCATCAGCAGCTGCCCTACAGCTCCATTCAGGCACCTTATGGTGGGCGATCGTCTCATCATCTGAGATGCTGCTGTCGGAAAGAGCGCCTTTCCCCACATTCAAGTCTTCAGGCATGCCCTCTGGGGTCTCTGTTAGTACTCTAGGACAAGATTCGTGCCTAGGGATTTCAAGTGCTAGGATACGTGGTATTTTTATATTAAGACCTTTGGTTTCAACACCCGGAGGGTTCTCAGTCCTGCCATCAAGATGACAAGGCCCTTGAGGATCAAATTGACTCTCTGTACCTTTGGGGATGTCTATGTAACCAGGGCCCTGCTGGCTGTCGGCACCCGGAACCACCTGCACAAGGGAATGGTCTGCCCCAGCATCCTGGATTCTGGATCCCAAGGAGTCTACGCTTTCCATGGGTACAGCTGGACATTCAGCAAGACCTCCACCTTGCTGCACGGTGTCCACATCTTCAGCAGACTCCTCTGGACTACTGATTTGGGGTGCAGACACAGACTTGGTCAACTTGGTGAGTGCCAGCTCCCGTTCTTCCTCCTCAAAAGGCAAAGAGCTAATGGAGGTGAGAGACGCCTGGATCCCACTCGGCAAACTCGTATTACTCTCTGTGTGTCCACCCTCTAAGGAGTTCCTGTGCAGGGCATGTCTTCGAACCAGATGGTGCAAGACTTCCCGGTCACTGGGTAGCTCCAGGGCCCTGCTTCGCGCCTCGGACCAGGCAACAGAGCTTGGCTCGCTCTCAATGCCTGAATCCGAGATGATGGAAGAAGATCTCTTGATGACCCCAGAGAGCACCGACACTTCCTCCTGCTCCTCTGAGTGAGGGTCCTTTGGGGAAGCCCTAACATTCAAGGGATCCCTCAAAGTCGAGTTTAGTGGATCGCAGGGCTCAGAGGGGATGAGCTTCAGACTTAGCAGTGCCATCTTGCCCACCTGGTCTGCAACCTTTCCTAGAGTACTTGACTCATGGAGCATTATTTTCTCTGAAAGGATGGCATTTTGACAACCTCCACCCACTACCTCTTGGCCTGGCACAGCTCTGTGTGATTCATAGTTATCTGCAGAGTGCCCACTCTCCTGCTGAGCTCTAATGACCACTGTGGGCTCAGTACTGCAAGGCCTCTTATTGCTATGTGATTTCACATCAATGTAGGTGAGTGCCGGGGCCTGGCCATCCTCCAGACCTGGGCTCCTTCTGGGCAGGTCTTCATCTGCCTGTGGATGTGTTCCAACATCAGACCACTGGCCAGTCCAACATTCCTCTTCAGGCAAACCTGCTTTGTTCTGGGACTCACCAATTGTCAGATACACCTGAGATCCGGAGCACATGTCTGCACATTTTGGTGTGGTTATGTTGTCATCTGGCTCTGGACACCTAATAACTTCCTCATCAGAGTCCACTTGGGGTGGTTTCACGGTGGGCAAGACAAGGTCTTCCCTAAAAGGTGATTTTCTATTTACAAAAGGGTCCTCTTCTCTGTCCTTTAGATTCATTATTGCAGGACTTGTCGTTGGAACATCAAAATTAGGGTAAACACTCAAATTGTACCCTACAAAAAGAAGAAAGAAAGAAAAATGTATTGTAGTTTAAGAACCTATGTCCACAAACTATCCAAAAGCCCGACTATATAATAAATAATCTGGCTGAACTCTGCTCCTGGTTCCGAGGGGACAACCTCTGAATTTGTGCAATTTCCCAAGTGATGGAACGGTCTTTGTTATCGGTGGTGGGCCTTAAAAGCTTACACTAACCAGGTGACTCAAATGAGTCCTTTAATAGTTTATGCTAAGGAGATGACTCAGGATGGGGCCTGGCCATGCCAGAAAGGCCAACTATTTGGTCAGGGCTTTGAGCCAGGTAGTACAGGTATTTTCCTCTGGGGAGAGCAGTTCAATCATGTGGCCAATGATTCGACCAGCCACGCCTAAAAAATGAAACCCGAATAAAATCTGTGGACTCTGGGGCTTGAGTAAGCTTCCCCGGTGGGCAATACACATTGATTTGCCAGGATGACCAGGCCTGGGGTCATGGGACCTTCATGTTTGGGACCCTTCCAGACCTTGCTTTACAGGTGTCTTCTTTTGGCTGGTCTTTATTTATATCCTTTATATTAAAATGGAAATCACAGGCATAGCACTTTCCTGAGCTCTGTGAACTGTTCCAGCAAATCATTGAACTGGGGGGGGGGGGTTGGAACCCCTGAATTGGTGTCCAGTTGGTCAGGAGGACAGGTGGTCTAGGAACCCCCAAGCTTGTGTCTGACATGAGGGAAGTCTTATCAGAGGCTGTGCCCTCAACCTGTTTGACCTAATACCAGGTAATTCGTGTCAGAATCACCGTGCGCTAACGCAAAGCTGTCAAACATTGTAATTCATGATTGGTCTTTTACTTACCAAAACAGTTTTAATTTAATTACTACTTATAAATATTAAAGCATTTCTCTATATCATGTATAGTATTTACAGTGGAGAAAGAGCTTTGGAGCCAGGAAGGCCTGTTTTCTGGTCCTGACACCGGCAGCCACCAGCCCTGAGGCCTTGGACAACGACAGAACTTAAATAAGTTTTTTTTTTCCCTTTTGAGCTCACTTTCCTCAACTCTAGGAAGGGCAGATTCATAGCAACCAGCAGGCCTCATAGACATAGCTCACAGGAGAGTCATGATATGAACTGTCCACACGTGGGGAGGACGGATTCCTGCCTTCAGGAGAGAAACCCTCCAAGCTTGAGCTCTGTCACCAGGGCAATTATCCTGCATGGCATTCAGACCGCAGAGGTTCCCGGATCACTCTGATCTTCCCGGTAGGATGGCAGGGTCAAAGCATGACCTTCTTTCTCGTATTTTTCTTTACGGTAAACTATTATCTCTCTCATCCTGTCTCTGTTCTCTTTCCTTTTGTCTTCTCTCTTTCTCCTGCCCCTCCTCCTCCTCCATTTCCTGCTCCTCCCCCTATCTCTTTCTCTTTCTCTCCCTTCTAATAAAACCTAAATGGAAGAGAATAAGTGTCTCCCATGTCTGTCAGTACCACAGCTCTCTTGAAAAAGCCATCTGATAGTTTATTCAATTTCCACATACACCAGACAATAAAAGAGGAACTGGACTTTTATTTTATTTAAAACTTCTAAATTCTTCAAATGGTTTTCTTAGAAGTTAAAGGAATATAACTTTTGGAAGTTATGAAGTGAATCACTAAGATACTTACAAACCATATCACCAGCTCACACCTTGGGGTGAAATTTATGGCTGGGTCAAAGATTAGAACAAAGATCGAGGAAGAATGGGTCTCTTCCTTATGTGGATATGTTCTTGGGATCTTGAGACACTGAGCAAACGTCCCTTCCTTTGGGGGAGGTTTCCCACAGCCAACAGCAGGTTAAATGTTCTCTGAACAAATTCCCAGCATCCCCTCTACACAAACATACTCTAACACCATCACCACCATACAACTCACTTGTGCACTGGAAAGAAGGGTTGTGTTGTATGAGTATCAGGGTGCCCACGGCTAACATCACGGCTGCCACATGGTGAACTGTGTTCATAAAATGAATCGAGAATAGAACAGAAATGCAGCAGAACAAAGACTATTAGTCTCACGAACTGCTTATGTTGGTTTGAAAAAAACCGCAACATCCATGTTATTTAATCCATGAATAATGCATTGGCAGAGCCTATGCACAAAGCCCTATACTAGGCCACAGGTTAGGGAGAGGGGAAGTGGGGATCAGTTTTAATGATGAATTAGTCTCTGTCTCTAAGGGATTTTCAAAATATTGGGAAGCATACAAGGTACAGTAGAGTTGGCTCTCCTACATAAAGCATGTGGGCTGTATCCTGGAGAATATGAATTGGGTTCTTCAGAGATGGAGTTAATGAGTCATATGAGGCACAGAGAACAGCAAGGGCCAAGACCCAGAAGCCTGGGGTGCACAGTCTGGCCAGATATCAGTTAGATCTCGTGTGAATGGAGCTAGGGAGAATGGGGGCATGAGGCGGGCATGGGGTTAGACAGGTAGAGGGAAGCCACCATATGGATGGACCTACCTGAATGCCCTGTATAAATGAGGAGCCTGGTCTTTATAGTACAGGCATCAGGAGATTGGCAAAGTCTTGGAACAGAGAGGAAAGATGCCTCTGATTGTCAAAATAACAACACTAGCTTCACTACCACAACTGTGGAAAAATAAAGGAGTAGCGGAGGATCTAATTCAAAGAGAATGGATTTAGTCCTCAACTAACGACCAGTATCAGCTGACATGCATTCATAACTTCCTTTGTGCCTTAAGTGTTCTATGGATGGACCTATCCACTGCTCACAGTAGACCTACAGAATATAAATTACAATTCCTTTTGCCCAATTTCACAGTCACTAATGGTTGGAGCAAAGATTCCATTTGAGGCAGTCTGGTCAACTGTTAAGGCCCTTAGGTAAAAGGTTCAATTGCCTTGGGGCAGAAGAGTGAGGGGTCCCGGGGAGGAGGGATCACAGACAATATAGACAGAATTTGCAAGGGTCTGGCACACAGTAGGTATCTAGCCCATGGTACTGTAGCAGACCATGAATAAATATTACTATTTTAATACGGAAATGGGACTCTTTTATTTCCCTTTCTTCACCACACTGAAACAATGGAACGCAAATCTGATGACCTCCTTGAAAATTACATTAAGGTCACCAATTCCTGGGGAAAGGGAAATAGTTCTTTATTTGCTAATGCTTTTGCTCTGGGATTAAAGAACCATCAGAGCACACTGTGAAGGAACAAAGAAGGTCAAGAGAAGTTCTGAGTGGGGAAGTAGTCTTGGGAAAAGGGAACAAACAGGTGAGAGGTCTGTACAGAGTCTTGGGGAGAGAGCCAATCCTCTGAGAGCAATTGCCTTGGGGTCCTTCTGGGAAGACGGGATCCTTAGTGCTGGGGCCACAGACTCAGTCAAGTTCCCTGTCCCAAGCACCTTCCAGAAGCTGCAAAGAGATGCTGCCTCTGAAACACAGGCAAAGATGGACAATACATGGCTTCGAGGCCCCTGCAGGGGCAGATGGCCCCCAGCCACATGAAATCTAGAGCACGGACTTGGAGGGCAGCAGAGAAGGGCCAGCAGGGCAGCCCGCGAAAGCCCAAGATTGACTTCCCATCATGTGTGGCAGAATGGATGGGTTCAGCAGATAGGAAGATTTATAAAAAACAAAGCAATACAATTGTATGCATGAGTTGCAGGACTGAAATTTGCATCCATCAGGGTGTCTATTCATATGTAAAGGAAACAGACTGAAGACTTTCTGCAAGGAAGCCAAGTAGTAAATCCGAGGGTCTGATCTCAGGTGCTTATTGTAAATTTCTTCCCTACCTGTTCAGGTGTTCTGTAGCAATCATATATAACTATAATGAAGATGAGCACACACACATAACAAACACACGCACACTTAGCCTTGGTGCAAAGTACCAAGCGTTTTTTTGACCAGCTGGGTAGGCGGCCTTCTCTAGCGTGCGTCCCCTTCTTGCTGTCATACACAGTGTTGACGCTAGATGTCAGGGCACAACTGAGAATCCAGTAACATCCCTCCATCACGAAGTTACACTGTCCTTGGAAGTCTCCTTGACTTTTTTCTTTTTTTCTTTTTCTTTTTTAAAGATCCTACAAATCTCTGCCTGCAGAAACTCTGAAATTTAAGTGGCGCATGACTTAAATGATGGGCATCCCAGCATCATGGTTTGAAACGCCTCACAAAGAGATGGCAAAAAAAAAAAAAAACCAAAAAATCAAAGAGATGGCAGGGCAGATCTTGAATATTGTATTCACCGTGCCTCAGTTTCTCTCTGTGAAATAGGGCTTATGAAGTTTTTTGTTTTGTTTTGTTTTGTTTTTAAGAGAATTCAAAAGATAAAACACGAAAGACTTCCAGCCGGCAACTTTCTGGCTCTTTAAGGGATCATGGGTCTACTTCAGCTATGATAGCTTCTGGGTTTCCATGAGCAGGGCTGTGGGAGGGGACAGAGGACTAACATCCACGGAATGCCCCGTGGGCACCAGGCTCTCTCCCGCTGACCTATCAGTTCCCCAACACACTGTGCTGCCCAGCAAGACAGACCGCGATGTGGATACAAACGCACAGATACACACAGATGGGATTCCAGCCCACTTTCTCGAATACCTTGCCCGGTTCGTGGCATGAAGCAAGCACTCCACAGGAGTCTGAACTGAATGCTACCAAAGTTCAATGAGAAATGACTTTATATTTGAGATATGAAAGGATGTCCATCCTCTGCTGAGGGTGAGGGGAGAATCTGGTTCCCATTTCATAGGTGAAAACACCAAGGCACTTGGTAGAATTTTACCCCAGAGGGAGTCAGGAAGGGGATCTCTACCATAGCTGCCCTTCTGTTGCGTTGATTTGTCAATTGCACTGACACAAGGTCATCTCAAATAACTAGCTTAGCCAGAGATTTTGTGTCTCCTCCATGAACTGCCAAATCACTTCCTTGATTTGGTTCCACTGCTGCTGGAACATAAGTAGGGCAACTGACCGGAATCCACGGATAAGCCTTAGTCTTGAGTCTTTCCAGAACAAAGACCAACCTGTTGCAGGGCAGTCCACGTATCTGTCCTCAAAGATAACTGGCAAGGTGTTCCAGTCGCCATCGATGTCCAGGCACTCCGCGGGCAGCGGGGGCATGGTGGTAAGGTACTCCGAGTTACGGATGTCCAGAGACAACTGGCTGTGGGTCTGTATCCTGGGGACACACATACTGGTTGAGCATCGGAACAAGTTTTAAATGTGGTAAGAGTCATTGCCTCACATCCCCTCATCCCAAGAAAACACTCAGGAAACATTCAGCAGGCTCTGACAATACATCATCTGTGTGTCCATCCTCTCTTCCTTCCTCCCAGCCAGCTACCCAGCCCCACTGGTCTGGGCACTGAGCTTAGAGGTCACGGATCGTGCGACCGGGGCACGTATCACATTCCATTTTAGTGGGATGCAATAAATACCATTCCAGTGGAGCAGGATCTGAGCTTCTAAATGGCTAGAAATCTTAAATTAGTACTTTGGAGGAAAAACTTCAAACTCCTTATCCTTTATTCTCGCTTTTCTAACCTATAACACTTAGAGTCTGAATTCTAGGTCGTGGCATTGTATTAAGGACCATCTAAGATTGCTTTTTTTTTTTTTTTTCTTGTTTTATTGCTTACTCTGTGGACACCAGCATCCTGGATTAGCGGGTAAGTGCCCCTAGCTCAGGATCCACGAGTTTTGGTTCCTCCGTGTAAGATAAAAAAATGCCTTAAATTCTTCCTCCCTGGACCAAACACCCTTCCACCAGCAGGAATTGGATTTTGGAGTTTGAGATCATCAGTACTCCTCATTCAAAAGATGGTATAGTAGGAAATGTTTATTCCCTTTCTCAAGTCCCTAGAGAAGGGAAAGAGTCTATTTCCTCCCACAAAGGAAGAATATTAACATTCCATCATTCACCATTCCACCTCAATCACTTTTTTTTAAGATTTTATTTATTTATTTGACATAGAGAGAGAGACAGCGAGAGAGATCACAGAGCTCTGAAGAGGGAGTAGCAAACTCGCCGCTGAGCAGAGAGCCTGATGCAGGGCTCGATCCCAGGACCCTGAGATCATGACCTGAGCCGAAGGCAGATGCCCAACGATTGAGCCACCCAGGCGCCCCTTACCTCAATCACTCTTAAACCCAGGGAGAAGAGGCTGGTAAGTCTGGGAGAAGAATTACACACACATAGTTAGCTTCTATCTGTCTGAATGACTGTCACTGTTTTTAGAGCAGCCTGACCTCTGGAAGCCCCCACATCACTCTTTAGCCATGTAGACAGGTCACCTGCTCCCACAGAACCACTCATAGAGGCAGAACTCCACACAAGCCCAGGGAAAATTCTCTCATTCTGCACTCTCGGGAACAAATATACTGAATGTATATGCATATAGGATACTTTATACATGTATTTTGAATATACATATGAAATATGAATATTTTATTTCTTTCTTATTATTCAACTGGATTTTAACCTATGATCAAAAAGGATAAACAATGTGGGTGGCTCAGTCGGTTAAGTGTCCGACTCTTGACTTTGGCTCAGATTGTGATTTCAGGGTCATGAGGGTGAGCACCAGGTCGGGCTCTGTGCTCAGTAGGGAGTCTGCTTGGGATTCTCTCTCCCTCGGCACCTCCCCCTTGCTCCCCACCCTCCCTGTCTCTTAAAAAAAAAAAAAAAAGATAAGCAATGTATTTATTCTCTTCTTCAAAGCCATGAAGGCTGTAGCAACTTCTTAATATCGTGAAGCTTTCTCTGAATATTTAAAGGGAATTTTGTTGCAATCAATCCCGTACTTCTTAGCTATCACCTGAACCTGGAAATTCTGGTCCAGTTTTTAGTTTATTAAAAAAGTACACTGACTGGACACCCACGTGCGGAGGACTGGGTCCCCAGGCAAAGGTATATACCGCCAGGATGGAAACTTGATTCTGGACCTAGAGAGCTCACAGTCATGAATAAATCGGGTGATTAATCAAGTAACTACCACACAGCAGGAGAGGTGCTGGGGAGTCGGGTCCGGGTTACCTCCTGCCAGAAGGTGGCTTCTTGACTTTGTGACTTTGTGGATGTGACCAAGCACCTAAAGCACGGCTGAGCGTGTGTTTAAACAAATGACTAAAAATTCTAGAGCACATACACAGTTCTGTCACCTCACACCTAGGATGGCTATTCTTAAACCCAAGAAAAAAGCAAGCGTTGGTGAGGATGTGGCTATGTTGCCGCCCTCGGACACTGTTGATGAGGACGTGAAACGTCACAGTTGCTGTGGAAAACAGTGTGGAAGTTCTTGGGGAAATTAAAAATAGAAGCACCATGTGATCTGGCAATCCTGCTTCTGGGTATTTATCCGAAAGCACGGACATCAGGGTCTCTAAGAGATCCATGCACCCCCACGTGCATAGCAGCACTATTCACAATAGCCCGGCCACGGAGACAGGCTGAGTCTGTGAACAGAAAAAGGATCAAGAAAACGCAGGACACTGGGATATTATTCAGCCTTAAAAAAAAGAAGGAAACCTTGTCCTATGTGACAATGTGGACAAACCTTGAGGACGTTGTGCTAAGTGAAAGAAGTCAACCTCACAAGGACAAATACTCTGTGGTTCCACGTGCAGGAGGAATTGAAAATAGTCAAATTCAGAGTCAAAAAAATAAAGGGGAGTGGTTGCCAGGGGCTGGGTGGGGAAATGGGGAGATGCTAGTCAACGGGCATAAAGTTTCAAGGCAGAAAAACAAATTCTGGAGAGCTGCTATCTGCAGCATCCAGGGCCCAGTTCCTCACCTACTTATCTCCCTGACCCAAGGAGTATATCGAACAACACACAGACACTTCTATTTTGGAGGCTGAGAAAGCCAGATTCAGCTCCTCAGGATAATGGTTCACCACTATATCACGGAGCCACAGCTATATACCATAAGGACGCTAGGAGTGTGGGATCTGGACTCTAGCAGACCTGTGTGTGCATCACATGCTTGCTGTGTGGTCTAAAATTAGTTACTTAGCCTCTCTGAGCCCAGGTTTTCCCAGTTTCTTCTTCAGTGAAGTGGGGATACAAACAGTTCCGAGCTCACAGTGTTAGTGTGGGCATTCAATGAGCCAACGCAGGGAGAGCACTTAGCTGGGCTTCTGACTCGAGGCATCTCAATAGGCAAAGCACCAAGAAGGCAGGGAAAGTGCCTTTTGCGTTCAGACACTATAGACACGGCATCTTGTAAAATGAATGACTCTCAAAAATTAGCGTTATACTTATTTCTACAGAAAAACCTAAAAGGCAGGTGATCAGTCAGTTGTCATTGTTACAGAGGTTAAATAATCCCCAGGATGGGTCTTCCTGCACATCAACACTTCTGCATTCATTCATTCAAGAAGGTCTCAACTGAGCCCCTCCTTACTGTGTGAAAAGCACAGGCTGGGCACAAGTAAAGCAGAAGCAAGGGACAATAAAACACACGCTTGCCACCAGCCAGTTCTAAAACATTTTCAAACACTGCAACATTGCATTTTTAAATACTGCAGTCCATGGCAAGAAACAGTCTCCATTTTACGTGGCGACCCAGTACGACCACACGCTCCTAGAAACACACACCAAAGCAAAAGTTTCAGAAACACGTCTTACTGGTACTCCCTACTCCATCTTGTCCTATTCTATCCTGTTTCGTGTAGAAGCGCTGTCCCAAACCCACGACGTGGATTCACAGTGTACTCAATGTGCCCCACTGTTCGAGAAACACAATCTAGGATGAGCTTGAATTAGATGGGTCTTGAACTAGATGGGTCTTGAACTTGATGGGTCTTGAACT